GTGGGGAGGGGAGGGATTGGGGTCAGAATGGGGGGGCTGCAATTGTATGGGGAATATAACAATAAAATTTATTAAAAAAAAAAAATAATAATAATAAATACCAGTTTCTTTTAAAAGAAATGGGGGGAGGGACCTGCAGGCATGTATTTCTAGCAATTTCTTCTTACAGCAGGCAAGCATTTGCTGACATTGGACAACTGGACCAAATTAGAATCTTGTTTCCTCTGAAAAAAACTGCATTCCTAGAAAATAAGGTAATCGTGGTAAACCTCACTTATAACCCTTATTTGTGATAATGTTCATTGCATACTATCACTTTCAATATTTACAAAAATCCCATGGAGTGGCAACTATTATCCCTTTTAAAAGATGAAACAAAGAGCAGAGACACAATTTACCCTAAGTCACACAGCTATTAAATATCAAGAATAGGAAACCTTAACATGATAACGAATAATTTAAGGGTGGCGAAGTGAGAATCTCTAGTTATAAAGAAAAGTTAAGAATTATAGGTACTTACCAACCTGGAAAAATGAAACAGATATATATCAAATGGCAGAGTGGGTATTTCTAGTTAGTGAGATTAAGGATGATTTTTATTTTGTTAATTCATGTTCTGACCCTTACAGGCTATGTATCCTTGGGAAAGTTACTAAATCTCTCTCTGTTTTAGTTTCCTCGTTTGCAAAGATGGATATTAATAGTACTCACATCACTGGGCTGTTGCAAGAAGTAAATAAGATAATCTAGGTAAGTGCTTAAAATAGTGCCCAAGCTATAATGACTACTTAATAAAAGATAATCATTACCATTAGCTCAATGTAATTTCCATTTGCATTGAGTTTGCGCATATGTCCATATGTTTAAAAAACATTTGTATTTTCATTTTATCTACTCGTGATCTTTGGTCATTTTCTATTGGCTGATAATCTTATTTATTTGTTTGAGCAAGATACATGTGATTTTTGCTTCCCTGTTTTGGGTTATAGTACAAAGAATATGTATTGATACAAAGAATAAACTACTCTGCTAACTGTCATCTTTCCAATGGTCATTTGTTTATTTGGGAGGCAGAAGACCTACATTTCAGGACAAAAACAAACTCCTTACAGAAACATTCATGGCTCATATCTGCTTTGAAGGCCTTTTCTGCCACTCTGTCCAATATTCCAGCCACTTAATTTCCTGGATAGTAGAAACATACATATACACCCACACACATAACCATACCCATCTCTGCCACCTTCACCTGCAGCAACCTCCCTCCTACCTCACCCCCACTTTACTACCAATTGAACTTCCAGTTTCAGGACACAGTTGAAATGCTCCCAGGTAGCAACTGACCCCCTCCATCACTCTACCCCCAGCTTATCATTCTTCCCATGCTCCCACAGCCCTTTGCGATAATTGCTGTTACAGTTCTTGACATCACGAATCCTCATCATCCAAGTGTCTGTCTAACTCTCTGGACTGTGGACTAAGAAGACATGGGTCTGCTACTGAAAGTTTTGAAAAAAGAATGGATGGACGAAGACAGGAAGGAGATAAAGAAACAGTAATATTCTGCTTTCATCAGAAAAAAAAAAAAAACTATATGCGAGTATTTGTTTCTGCTAAGGAAGAGCAGAGGCAGCCTGGCTACAGCATGTGGTAGGAAACAGGAGTGCCCCATTAGGCACCTTCCCCACCACAGGGCTTCCATCAAGCCCTCCCCGCCCCAATCTATCCTCTAGAAAGGGGCAGCATCTGCCTCCTTTCATTACCCAGAAGCTCAGGTCAAGAACCTTCTGAGTTATGAGCACATTTTAACAAGGGCTGTATAGAGTCAATGTCCTGGCTTTGCAACCAGTATCAGGACATGTTGCTCATCTTTCGAGTCCAGGTCCTCCCTCCTTAGGCTAACCTTTTCCTTAGAAAAGCCCACCAATTGTGATGCCTCCGGACTCACTTGGCTGAGTTAACGTCAATGTATTACAGCATAAATATAGAAATGTTTTAAGTTGCCAATATCCTCCAGCCAAAGACCACAGGATCATGACTGTAGTTAAACAAGTTGGGAACATCTCATTGCAGTGAGGGAGAACACACACCTTGGGGAACCATGTGGTGTCTCAGGAAGAGGTTTCAGAAAGAAACTATTATAAGATTTCAGCTTTGGTTGGGTTATTTTGGGAAAGTGTGAAGGAGAGGGGGGTTTGCTCCAGTTTAGATGCTGTGAGAAAGCAGGGACAATTCTACGACTGGTGTTTCAATAAGTCATATCTCAGAGGGAAGGTGAGTCTAGAACCAGGATGAATCAGTAATTGTAAAAAAGTGATACTCATTTTCGCTAGAGAGAGGTGTTTAGTATTTTGTGGCCTCATTTATGTCTCTGCTTAAACAAAATTACAAAGTGCTCTTATTTTGTCTCCTATTGGCATGGTCTCTGAGTGACACAGTCTGATGTTGGTGTCCTATGACATCATTTATGCCCAATAAGGAAATTAAATGTCCTAGCTCTGAGTGCCAGGGGATGAATGGCAGCACTACCATTTTTTTTTTTAATTCTTAATGTGCAGACCTTTCTCCCAAGTAGACTGTGAGATGCTTGCTGCCAGAGATGGTGGCACCTGCTAAACCATCCCTGACAAGGCATTGTATGAAGGTGTTTAGTAAATAATTGCTGATTGATTGGTGATCTGGAGGGCTGATGTGGGACCTTGAGGGATCCTCAACTCATGGCCATTTACTTTATGCTTGGTTAATTAATCTATTGTCAAGTTTCTCCAAAAAACACAAGTACATGAAATAGGTCTTTGCAATCCTCAGATTGAAGATCAGGAGACTGGTTCTAGTCTTGGCTCCTCCATTAAGTGTCAAGACCTTAGGGAAGCCAGTTAGCTGTTCTAGACCTTAGTTTCCCCACTTGAAAAAGAATGGGTTAGATTCAAAATTTAAAGACCTATTTGGCTCTGCAATTTGGGGAGAACATGAGTTTTTTCTCTTGCATCTCTTCTATCTGTATAGAAAGTGCTAAAGGGTACATGGTCACATATTCTAGAAGAGAATAATTACTCAACAAATGGTGCTATAGGTGAGCTGTTTAAAATAAAAATCAACTGAGATTGTAATCTTACACCATGTGTCAGTAATGATTCCAAATGGAATAGGGAAATGTGAAATATAAAAGAAGAAAATATAAATTTTTAAAAAATTTTTTAAGATTTATTTATTTATTTATACAAGCACTGGGTACAGTCAGAAGTGCGGGAGGGTGACAGAATTCACCAGATCCAGAGCGGGGAGCAGAGCAGGCAGAAGGACCGAAGTACACTGCTGAGGGGAGCAGCGGGCGGCAGGAGAGGTCTGCGCGCCATGTGGGACCCTCCTCTGGTGGCCAGGGAGCAGCCGGGGATCGAACCGGCGCTGCAGAGGCTGTGGGCAGCTTTGCAACCCAGAGCTCAAACGCTGCGCCACCGGGGAGGCCCAGAAAATATAAAATTTATCAGTGAATGAGAAAAGATTTGCAAATTTATACTATGCTAAATTCATGGGGAAAAGTCAGATTTGCAACATAAAAATGAAAAGCTATATACTTAGAAATATTAACTAACTTAGAAGGAAAAAAATCAAACTACGAAAATATTTTCAACAGATGGTTAATATCCTAAATATAATCCTATTTCATTCCATCTACCTATCTCACTCAAATCTTGACTTAAGGGAGCTGTGAAATCACTCAAGGAGGAATTGCACTACTCCATGTAGCTGGGAATAACTGATTCCTCTAAAACCAAATTAGATGCTTCTTTCCAAAGGCCTGACAGACCATACAATAGCTTCTCTCCAATACTTCAACAACAGTACTGTGTGGATTGCACACATAATTTCAGGTATATAGAATTTCACAGTATGAAAAAGGATTTCAACCCATTATCTCATTTAGTTCTCACAGCAATGTTGTAAGATAGGGAGGTAAAAATTATTCAAACTTTACTGATTGTAAAACCAAGACCTAAAAATGATGTTACCTTCCCAAGATCACTTCTGGGGACAAATGTTAAAACCCACTCTAGACCTAGGAGTTTGGATTAGAGATTCTCAACGCTGCCTTCCAGTTTTAAGCCAAAGATTTATGGTAACACCATACTCCAATTTTGAGGAAAAATAAATCCAGACCAGGGGAAAAAGAAAAAAAATGAAACTTGGTTGGGTTGATGAAATGACAAGTCCTTCTTCCCTTTGATGGAACTTATTAGTATTGTTTTTCCTAAATGTAACATCCAAATATTATCCAAATGCTTTACAAAAATTTTTAGTGTTACAAAACTCTTGCTACCGAATAAGTACAAAATAATATTAGTTTCTCCATAATTTTCAAAGTTAATTACACTTCAGGTCTTGAGTAAGTGGATCTTAAAATCAATAAAAAAAATTCTGTACTGTGGCTGCAGAAACATCCCAGGAAGCCTGCCCTTTTGATGTCTGTCATGCTTAGTTTTTATATGACCTGATCCTTTAAAATTAGTCTTTTTTTTTAATTCAGTCTTTGTAGGCTTGCAATGTATTTGTCAGGGTTCATTATACACTTTCCAGCTCTTGTCATTTTCCACTTTCTTCAACACTCAGTTCTGACTCGATCCATTTTTTCCAAGTAGCTTTAACTAAGATAAATGGTCCAAATTCACCTCTCTTATTGGGAGTTTTTACTACTGCTCCCAAAGATGTGGGAAGGGGCCATACTTTTAGGCCCCTGTCCCTATTTGCTTGAGCCATTACCAAAACAGCAAATCCTCACAGTTCACATGGCCATGGTGGTTCCATATTGACCTGTACACTTTTGTAGCCAATCCTAATAGCAGGACAGAACTCATGTGGCCCTAAAAGTAACACTGGGCCCTACGGTCTAGTGAACAGTAGGCGACTGCGAGCAATTCTAGAACGCAACAGCCTCGGTCATTCATTGGACAAAGGGCATGTCAATCCTCACGTCTCAGCAAATGAGCATGGAGATCGTGATGCGGTGACTCGGCCTTTTCTTGATGCTTCCCGCCCTGCCCCCCGTCACACGCCAGGCGCGATCTTTCCAGGCTAGTTGGCAGCGGTGAGTGGCGCAGCAGCCTAGGCGGGTAGTCCCTGGCCCTTCCTGTCCTGGTGCCCCCTCCGGCACCTCCACAGACGACTGTCCCCTCGACGCGGGCTCCTCTGCCACCCCTGACTCTCCATTTCACCTCTCTTCAGGCTTCCCTTCCCCACCTCAGGCTCCCCTCAGGCTCCCCTCGGTGGCCGCCATCTTTGCTGTCGTCGCCACAGCCCGAGAACCGGTCCGGTTGAGGTCGTGCCTGGTGCCATGTCCGCCGCAGGGGACAGAGAACTGCACTCAGGTGGACGGGACCACCCTGTGGGACCAGAGGGAACATGGGCCAGATTGGTGGGCGCTGGTGACTGGGTGGTCAGAGACTCCGGGGCCCACGAGAGCGACTTGGTGTCAGCAGCCCGGGAGGCCGGAGTCAGTGGGGAGGCCGCGGTCAGTAGGGAGGCCGCGGTCGGTGAGGAGGCCGCGGTCAGTGAGGAGGCCACGGTCAGTGAGGAGGCCGCGGTCGGTGGGACGGCCGTGATCCGTGAGGAGGCCGCGGTCATCGGTGAGGAGGCCGCGGTCGGTGGGGAGGCCGCGGTCGGTGGGGAGGCCGCGGTTGGTGAGGACGCCGCGGTCGGTGAGGAGGCCGCGGTCATTGAGGAGGCCGCTGTCGGTGGGAGCCCCGCGGTCGGTGAGGAGCCCGCGGTCGGTGGGGCGGCCACAATCGGTGAGGAGGCCCTGGTCAGTGGGGAGGCCGCGGTCAGTGGGGCGGCCGCGATCGGTGAGGAGGCCGCGGTCGGTGGGGTGGCCGCAGTGTGCGGCGTGGGCCGGGGCATTCGGTGTCTCCGGGGGCTTGGGTTCCCCGGGGCATTCGCAGTCTGTGGGTGCCCAGGATCACTGGGGCTCTGGGCAGCTTCGGGGTGACCGGGGCCCCGGGAAGATTCGCCGACTGTGGGGTGGCGGGCGGCCCCGGGGAGCCGGGCGTCTGTGTGGCGGCCGCGCGCGGCGGCCCCGAGGTGGCGGGCGGGAGCGCGGGGTCCGACGCCGCCGGCGCGGCGGGCGGTCTCGGGGATCTCGCTGAGGGGCCGGCGATGGCCCTGGTGCCCTCGCCGGGGAGCTGGAGCAGCGAGGACTCCGACTTCGGCCCGGCCGAGGAGGAGCAGCTGCCGCAGGGCCTGGACGCCGTGGTGGATTCGTACCACTTCCCGATGGCCGGCTTCCGCTTCATGTTCCTCGACATGGTCCACTCGCTGCTGTACCGCATCTACTACAACGACCACGTCCTCATCCGCACCCGCGGCGGCCGCCTCATGGTGCGGCCCCGGCCTCGCACGCCCGAGGCCTCCCAGCCGCTGCCCGCGCTGCAGGCGCCCGAGCCGCAGGCCGAGGGGCCCAAGGCCTCGGAGGCCCAGGGTCTGGCCGGGGCAGCCGCTGTGGGCCCTGCCACCCTGGAGCCCGCGGAGGAGCTGGGGGCGATGGGCCCAGCCCCTGAGGGTGAGGACGGCAGGGGGGCCGGGCTGGGGGGCGGGAGGAAGGCTGGACAGGATCGGGTGGGGGTGGGGGACCTCCTCCGGGGCACCAGCAGCCCCTAGAGCCTCCAGGCGGGGCGGGGGTGGGGCCCCGGGGAGCCCATTCCACCGTGACCTCTGCGGTCCTGAGACTTAATGGCTGCCCTCTACCAACCTCGCCCTCAGATAAGAGATCTGAGACCCTTGGGGCAGCTTGAGAGCCACAGAGGAATGTCGGTGGGAGGTGAGTGCTCAGGAGGGGCCTGGGGAGGAAACACAAGGGAAGCCAGAAGGAGAAGAACCAGAGAACTCCATCCCTCGTGTTTGGTTTGTGACTAAAAAAAAGTCAAGATCCTTGGAAAGCTGATACCAAACAGGAACCCTTGGTAAAAATTAAGTCTTCGGGGGGCTGGGGAACCATGGAGCTACACCATACAAGTTGTCCTTGAGGCAAAAATAAATTCTCCAAAATGTTCTGACCACACATAGAGGCTGCATTAGGCCCGATGATCCCCACCCCTTGTCCCAAGGGCCAGAAGTAATGGGCTGCGCAGGGCGGCAGGTTTACTGGAGAGAGAAATGATGCCACTGTGGAAAGAGACCGCCGCAGGAATGTGAGGTCCGTGGCAGTGGAGTGTCGGCCAGTAGGGAAGGGCCCGGCTACTCTTTTCTTAGCTGTTTCTATCCCGCTGCTCTCCTGAGGGCAGAAGACTGGATGCCACTGTTGGTTATAAATTGGGTATTTTTTCCTATAAATGTCCCAAAGTCTGTATTATTCTTTACTAAAGAAACAATGAAATATCAGTATGAAAACTATGGTGCAGAGGCCCTAGATGCTGGGATTGAGGAGGAAAGAGAGAAAGTTAACAGAAAACAAGGCGGACCAGAAAAGGATCCGGACCAGGAAGAGAGCAAGCCCGGATTCCAGGTACGTGTTTATGGCTTAGAGTACTACCCAACCGTTCCTGGCATTCACCTGTTAGCGACAACTTTTTTTTTTTTAATTCTCCCAGTAAATTAAGAACAAGTGTGTTTAAAATTAGCTTAAAATTCAATTTTAGCTTCCTAGAATGTTAATAGAATACTCAGTATAATAAAACTCGGTATACTTGATGGCTACTCATTTTTGTCTTCTGTAAGACTACAAACAAGCACAAAAGGTGTCAATACTTAAGACCAATATTTGTTTAGAAAACAGTTACTGGAAGCAGCTGCTGTGCACTAGTTGGGCCTTCATTACTTGGCCACAGAACAGCAGTTCCTGTGCTAAGTGGGAGACGGTGCCCTTCGGAACCTCACTACTTACAAAAAGCACAAAGTTAAGAATTTCAAGTAGGGGGGCCTCCCCGGTGGCACAGTGGTTGAGCGCTGGGTTGCGAAGCTGCCCGCAGCGTCTGCGGCGCCGGTTCGATCCCCTGGCTGCTCCCTGGCCACCAGAGGAGGGTCCCACATGGCGCGCAGACCTCTCCTGCCGCCCGCTGCTCCCCTCAGCAGTGTACTTCGGTCCTTCTGCCTGCTCTGCTCCCCGCTCTGGCTCTGGTGAATTCTCTCACCCTCCCGTGCTTCTGACTGTACCCAGTGCATGTATAAACAAAACAAACAAACAAATAAACAAACAAACAAATAAATAAATAAAGCATGCCTCTATTAAAAAAAAATTAAAAAAAAAAAAGAATTTCAAGTAGGAACGCATTTAATGTTAATACCTACACATTTGTTCAGCTGTTGGTTTTTCTCTTTTATGTGACAATCAGAGGAAACTCTGGTTATTATTGTTTATCGCTGAATCGGTAATTCTTTTAGTATATTTAAATGATAAACATTTTCCTTCGCATTTTCACAGCTGTGTATTTCATAATAACAGCCTCTTTCTCGTGTGCTAGATCTGGGAACTGAGGGCCTGGGAGGGTTAAGAAACAACCATTTGTGGAATAAGCAAAGGCTTTTAGGGTGGAGAGATTTATTTAAACCCCAGGAAACAAAATGCATTTATGGTGTTAGACAAGAGGGAGACAAGGTTGATATGGCTGCATGGTTGAAGCCATTGGTTACACGAGCACTCGGTATCCAAGGGTGTGAGATTGAAAGAGGAAAATGGGTTGTTCTCTGGTTACTGAGACATAGCACACAAATGCAGCAGATACATATATCTATATAGGATGATTTCCTTACATTTAGAAAGTAGTTGATGCTGGTTACTGTATAACTGATTTTCTCTCATTTTCCTATTAAGGAGTAGAAAAGGATGGAGAAAGAAGAAAGAATCTGTTCTTCACTTCATCACCTGAAAAGTGACATCCACTGACGTGATAGTTCTCTAACCTTTTACAGATGTATTTAATAGCATGTGTTCACGTTTTAAGTTTGTTTTAGATAAGTTGAAACATAGGCAGATTTTTAAAGGGTAAATAACACTCAAACCTGTTTTACCTTCTTGTATTGCCAACTTTACCATTTGTTAAAGCATCACTTTCCACCACTTGGGAAGCTTACATTCCTTTATCACAGCCCAAGTGTTCAGTGTCAAATGTAAAACAATTTTTGTAAAGAGAGAATGGAGGCAAGCCTTTAGAGCTACACTGTATTTTGTTAGTCGCTAGCACGTGTTGCTGCTACACCGTTTGAAATGTGGCTAAGTCTGGTTTGCGGTGTTCTGTGAATGTAAAAAACTACTTTAAAGATCTTACTACCTTATTACATATTGAAATGATAGT